CCTGGACACCTGGGTTCCCTCTCTCCTGCAGGGCTGGGGCCCCTGCATGCCTGGGCTCCCTCGGAAAATGGCAGATTTCCCCTTGCAGGCGGGCGTCATTCTAGCCTGCAAGGGGCCCTGCTTGAGGCTGCTGGGAGTGAGACCCAGGGGGCACCGCATGCATGTGTGTGGCTGCATGCACGCATATGGCCAGGAATGCAGCCGGGCAGCATGGTTCTCTGCTCTGCTGCCTTTTCCTCAGAAGCCCTGCGCTGGCCACGTGCTCCCTTCCTGCCTGGCAGAAGTGGGGGCAGCAAGTTGTGTCCACCGCTGCCAGGCTCCTGGGGCAGGCTCCTGAGTGCGAGGCTCCTGGGGCAAAGGCAGCAGAGTGGAGAGTCCTGAGCCTCTGCAAGCAGCCTGCTTCTCCCCTCACCCTGTTCGGCTCTGCTCCACTTAAAAGCATCCCTACACTTAAAAATGGTGGCAGTGGCACTTGAACTAAAGCTCATTCAACAAGCTTTAGTTCAAGTGCACCCGCTTCCATTTTTAAGCACCGGGACACTGATACATGTGATGTAGGAGGCTGCTAATGTGCACCAAAAAAAAGTTGATTTATGTCAGTGCTTTAAAATGCCATGCATTTCAAAGTAAATTGGTTATCAGATTGATATCAGCTGATAAGGTTTGTTAATAATCAGCTATCAGTATTGGCCAAGAAAATCTTTATCGGTGCACCCCTAGAACCACCTATTAGGAGCATTTTAAGACTGGATTTCCAAAGGTGTGCATTGTTGGTCTTATTAAACATGCCTCTGAACATCTTGCTCTAATTATATTAGGTTTTCAAGGACTAGCTTTTAATTAGTAAATGTTGTTAATCATGTAATTTTCTTCTACCTGAAAATACATGCAAACACTTTTTCCATCATGAGGAATTTACACAGAGAATTTAAAATGATGTCTCTTGCAAACAATAATAATATTTTTTATTAAAGTCTATGACTAATTGCACTTGCGTTAGTGTGGAGCAAAACTGTAAGTTATTACAAATGACTTGTTTTTTAATCGAGTTTTCTTTTTTCCCTATGTGTTTAAAAAGGTCTTTGATGCAGACTTAGGAGTCACAAACTCAAACAAGTTCAAAATCAGCTGCCTATCCCCTTTCTTTAAATCTATGCACTGAGTGATGTCTGTTCCACATGTACTTGTTGCTGTGCTGCTGTTTAATATTTATATTGCAGGACCACTCTGAATCTGCAGTCACAATTAAAGTCCTATTATGCTGACTCCTGGATAAACTCATGAAGATCATAGAATCATAGAACATTAGGGCTGGAAGGGATGTCAGGAGGTCATCTAGTCCAACCCCCTGCTCAAAGTAGGACCATCGCCAACTAGATTGTTGCAGCCAGAGCTTTGTCAAGCTGGGCGTTAAAAACCTCCAAAGATGGAGATTCTTCCACCTTTCTAGGTAGCCTTTTCCAGTGCTTCACCACTCTCCCAGTGAGACGGTTTATCCTAATATTCAACCTAAACCTCCCTTGCTGCAACTTGAGACCATTGCTCCTTGTTCTGTTACCTGCCACCACTGAGAACAGTCTAGCTCCATCCTCTTTCAAACCACCCTTCAGGTAGTTAAAGGCTGATATCAAATACTCTCTGGTCATGTCAACAAGAGCATGGACGTTTGTTTCCCAAGGGACAAGAAGTAGCAGCACACCTTGTGCCTGGGGAATGCTTGTGCCACACAACCCCTGCATGCAACAGGTTACCTTGGATGGGGTAGGGGAGGCTGGGACCAGCAACTGTGCTGGCCCCAGCACCCTTACCTGGGTTCCTGGCAGCTGGGGAAGCTGCAGCCATAGCAATCCTGCCACTTGGTGTGTGGCCAGCAGCCAGAGCATAGCTCTGGCTGGCCAGGCTCCAGTTTTGGGTGGCATGCACTGCCCCCATGTGCACCGTCCTGCTTTTTTTTCCACAAGTTTTTTTTTACCCTGGGATCTCCCAGGATCAACCCTCCTACCCCGTGCTGCTTCCTTGCAGCACAAAGAACACCTGAATGTGCTACATACCACACGGCCATGCTTGTCTGGATGCAGCCTATCAGTCTTCTTTTCTGTAGACAAAATAAACCCAATTCCTTCAGCCTTTCCTCAGAAGTCATATGCCCCAGATCCCAAACATTTTTGTTGCCTTCCACTGGACTCTCTCCAACTTGTCCACATCCTTTCTATAGTGGTGGGCCCAAAACTGAACACAGTACTCCAGATATGGCCTCACTAGTGCAGAATAATGACTTCCCTTGATCTGCTGGCAACTCTCCACTAATGCGGCCCAGTATGCTGTTAGCTTTCTTGGCAACAAGAGCACAGTGCTGACTCATATCCATTTTACTGTCCACTGTAACCCCCAGGTCCTTTTCTGCAGAGCTGCTGCTTAGCCAGCCAGTCCCCAGCCTGTAGTGGTGCATGGGATTGTTCTGTCCTAAGTGCAGGACTTTGCACTTGTCCTTATTGAACTTCATGAGATTTCTTTTGGCCCAATCCTTCTCCTGGTCACTCTGAACCCTAGCCCTACTTTCCAGCATATCTACTACACCCCAGAGCTTGGTGTCATTTGCAAACTTGCTGAGGGTGCAAGCTATCCTATCTTCCAGATTGTTAATGAAGATACTGAACAATACTGACCCCAGGACAGACCACAGGGGCAACCCATTTGATAATGGCTGATAACTAGACATTGACCCATTAATGACTACCCATTGGGCCTGACAATCCAGCCAGCTTTCTATTCACCTTACAATCCATTCATCCAACCCACACTTCCTGAGTTTGCTTGCAAGAATGTTGTGGGAGACAGTACCAAAAGCCTTGCTAATGTCAGTATATTTCGTCCACTGCTTTCTCCACATCCACAGAGCCAGTTGTCTCATCATAGAAGGCAATCAGGTTGGTCAGGCATGACTTGCCCTTGGTCAGTCCATGCTGACTATTCCTAATTGCCTTCTCCTCCAAGTGTTTAGAAGTGGATTCTTTGAGGACCTGCTCCATGATTTTTCCAGGGACTGAGGTGAGGCTGACCGGTTTGTAGTTCCCTGGATCTTCCTTCTTCTCTTTCTTAAAGATGGACACTATATTTGCCCTTTTCCAGTTATCTGGGGCTTCCCCTGATTGCCATGAGTTTTCAAAAGTAATGGCCAGCGACTTGTACATGTCCAGCTTTTCTAAATAGTCTCCAATCTGTTTTTTCAGCACTGTTGGCTGCTCACCTTCTCCCCAAACTGTGCTGCCTGGTGCAGCAGTCTGGGAGACTTGCATATGAAGAAGGCATTGAGTATTTCAGCCTTTTCCTCATCATCTGTCACTAGGTTGCCTCCCCCATTCAGTAAGGGACCCACACTTTCCCTGACTTTCCTCTTGTTGCTAACATACTTGGAGAAACCCTTCTTGCTACCCTTCATGTTCCTTGCTAGCTGCAACTCCAGTTGCGCTTTGGCCTTCCTGACTTTACCCCTGCATGCCCGAGCAATATTCTTATACTCCTCCCAAATTGTTTGTCCAAGCTTCCACTTCTTGTAAGCTTCCTTTTTGTGGTTAAGCTCACCAAAGAGTTCACCGCTAAGCGAAGCTGGTTGCTTGCCACACTTGCTATTCTTCCTGCACATCAGGATACTTTGTTTCTGCACCCTCAGTAAGGCTTCTTTCAAATACAGCCAGCTCTCCTGGACACCTCTTCCCCTCAGACTGGCCTCCCAGGGGATCCTGCCCATCAGTTTCCTGAGGGAGTCGAAGTCTGCTTTTCTGAAGTCCAGAGTCCTTACTCTGATGCTCTCTTTCCTTCCTTTCCTCAGGATCCTGAACTCAGTCATCTCGTGGTCACTGCTGCCCAAGTTGCCATCCACTGCCACATCCCCCAGCAATTCTTCCTTGTTCGTGAGCAGCAGGTTCAAGAAGAGCGTGGCCCATAGTTGGTCTCTCCAACATTCATACTAGGAAGTTGTCTCCAATGCTCTCCAAAAGTTTCCTAGATTGCCTGTTTCACTGCTGTATTGCCCTCCCAGCAGATGCCAGGGTGATTGAAGTCCCCCATGAGAACCACGGCCTGTATTTTGGTAACTTCTTCCACTTGTCTGAGGGAAGTCTTATCTACCTCAACATCCTGGTCTGGTGGTCTATATCAGACACCCACCACATCACCATTGTTACTCTCCTCTCTAACCTTAACACAGAGACTTTCAACAGGTCCATCTCCAGTTTCATACTGGAGTTCTCAACCATCATACAGCTCTTTTACATAAAGTGCAACTCCTCTTCCTCTTCGCCCCTGCCTGTCCTTCCTGAACAGTTTGTACCCATCCATGACAGTGCTCCAGTCATGCAAGCTATCCCACAAAGTCTCTGTTATTTCAATCATGTCACAGTTCCTTGACTGTGCAAGGCTTTCCAATTCTTCCTGCAGGCTCCTCACACTGTCTCTGCATCGTGTTTTAGACCTTGGGGGAAGGTGTGCATTGCAGTGAACACATATATACAAAGTGAACAAGTTGGGAGGAAAAATAAAGAGTCCTTTAAATCTTTATCTATACAGATCTGGAAGACTTCAGGGGACATCTGTATCATAGAAGGAAGTGCTGTGCAGAGATAGTCAAACAAGTGGTGCTTGTGTTAGCTCTGGAACCAAAAGCCACCAGTGCAGCATCTAAGCTAATTAGCTCTACATCTTTTAATTAATGAGTCTGAGGGAAGAGGCACAAAAGTGGATAGGGTGCCCTAAGAATTTTACTGGAGACATTGTAAGGGAAGAAACACAGGACAAAGAAAAAAAAAAGAGCCACCATGGTTACCCCATGTATATGTCCACATTTAGCCACCCATCTCTAGTGACAATATTAGCGGGGAAGCCCTAAAACCTGGAGAATAAAATCAGCTCCGTCTCATTCGTCAAAGTTATCATACAAGACATGAATTGTGGCATGTCGGGTATTTTAAATACAATTTATGCCTTTCTTATTTTATTTGCAGCATGGGCTGACAGCAATTCATCTTGCAGCTTGGTCTGGAAACCTAGACATAATGAGAATGTTGGTTAAAGCTGGTGCTGATCAAATGGCTAAGAATCAGGTTTGTCAGTGTCATATTTTAACTAACATTAAACATGTTGTTATGTTGAGAGGAAGTCTAATCAAATCTTAAAAAGCTTACTTTTATTTTCCTTAGGATGGGATGAACGTCCTGCACTTTGCAGCTCAGAACAATAATGTTAAAATAGTGGATTACTTTATCCAGGATCTTCGCCTGAATGAATTAAACAAGCCTGATAAGGTACAGCATGTGCCCAGTTACTTATAGGATTTATGGGTTTGTTACCTTGAGATTGTGAGGTCTGTTTCAATGATGAAGGGTATTAGCTTTTAGTTGGCTATTATATATGGACTTTGGATTTTTAGCAGTGTGAGGGACCTGCATTTTGCTCAAATATCTCCTCTTGACCTGCTGCATTACGATCTCACTTTAGAAGTTTGCCTTGTGAAGTGGCAGTTTCATATCCCCCAAAATAAATATGCTATGCTCCTGCGAGAGGCAAAACACCTCTGAACCCCAATGGCTGTATTTCTCTGACTGTGCAAGTTCTCAGCCGCACAACTTGCATTAGAGTCAGCAAAAGGAACATAGAAGTTTAATCAGGGAAGCAAATCTAATGCTTCAGGCCATAAGCTAACTGACCTGATTAGAAAGAAAATTTCTCTCCAGGGGCAGGTTATTCCATAGTTGTCCATTATGGAGTGTCTTGCATCTTCTTCTGAAGTTTCTAGTACTGGACATTGCATTCAGCCTCTATGACTGCCACAGAGATCTGTAGCTGATGGTATTTTCAGAATTCTGGTCATATGCAATGCTTAATAAAAATAAGTCTTTAGACATCTATAACGTCCTTTATAGAGAACCTCATGCTTTAATGAAATTATCCTTCCTCTGAATATGTCTCCAAAAGAAGTAACAGTTTGGTGCAGTTTCTGTTTCCATTATTACTGTTTTAGACTTTTTGGTCAGGTTATAAATGCTTCTTTGAGGTAATTAATCCAGTTCTCACCCTAAGGAAATTTTCCTTTTCCTGTACAAAGTTAGGCTCCAGATCTTTGTATGTTTATATATATATGCAGCATATGCACATTTTTATCCACAACAATATAGCATATCCTTATTATATATATGCCATGATATTAGTAGCTGGTGAAAGTTCTGCAATATTAATGTCTTTCTTCTGATGACACTGTTCCAGAAAGGTAGAAAACCCTTTCTTCTGGCAGCTGAAAAAGGCCATATTGACATGATAAACAGTTTGAGTTCCCTCAAGATGTTCACCTCTGAAAAGGATCAGGTAAGCTTTTCTTTTCCATATAAATCAAAATATAATGGTGCCTAAAGTTTATAAATGAGCCCAGTGTAGTTACTTGTGTAACTGAAAGACTTACACCTATGGAGACAATAGTATGGTTTATAAGAATAGCCCAAGAGATTAGGTTAGTGATACTGGGTGACCCTTGAAGAACTGTGGAACTCTCAGTGCTTATTATCTGGAAGCTTGTTGATGTCTATTATTAATATAGATGATGTAATCCAAAGCTAATACTAGAAGAGGAAATATGGTTGAGTAGTTAAGCTGCTGACCTAGGAATTGGGAGTCTTGGTTTCATTTCTCTGCTCTGCTGTCAACTTCCTGTGTGACTTTGGGCATGCTGCTTCAGGCCTAGTTTTCAAAGCTTTTGTGACACATAAAGATGCAGACAGACACCTAGTGGTGTTTCTGAACTGCCTGAGCCCTGAGGAAAGTGGGGAAGTGGGAGACCTGGAGGAAGAGCAAGCAGGAGTGGGCAACAGGAGAGGTGTTTTCATACTTGAGAAATCAGGGCAATCAGCAACTTACCTCAGGTGCCTATACACAAATGCATGGAGCCTGGGAAACAAGTAAGAAGAACTATAAGTCCTTGTACAGTCATGGAGCTATGACGTGATCAGAATAACAGACTTGGTGGGATAGCTCGCATGACTGGAGCGCTGTCATGGATGAGTCTAAACTGTTCAAGAATGACAGACAGGGAAGAAGAGTAGGAGTTGCACTTTATGTAAAAGAGCTGTATGATGGTTGAGAATTCCAGTATGAAACTGGAGATAGGCCTGTTGAAAGTCTCTGGGTCATGAACGACTTGTGCCTCCTGAGGCTGGGGGGGCACAGCGACTGCCCACAGGTGGCAGTGGTAGTGGCAGGGGTGTGGTGGCGGTGAGCAGGAACCCGCCCACAGGTGGCTATGGTGACTTCGGCGGCGAGGAAAGGAAGGATGAAGAGCAGCAAAGTAAGGACTCTGGACTTCAAAAAAGCAAACTTTGACTTGCTCAGGGAACTGATGGGCAGGATCCCCTGGGAGGCCAGCCTGAGGAGAAAAAGCGTCCAGGGGAGCTGACTATATTTGAAAGAAGCCTTACTGAGGGTGCAGGAACAAACCATCCCAATGTGTAGGAAGACTAGCAAGTATGGGAGAAGCCCAATTTGGCTTATCAGGAAACTCTTCAGTAAATTAAGTCACAAAAAGGAAGCTAATAAGAAGTGGAAACTTGGACAAATAGAGACAAGTATAAGAGCATTGCTCGGGCACCCAGGGATGAAGTCAGGAAGGCCAAAGCACAACTGGAGTTGCAGCTAGCAAGAGACTTGAAGGGTAACAAGAAGGATTTCTACAAGTATGTTGGTAGCAAGAGGAGGATCAGGGAAAGTGTGGGTTCTTTGCTGAATGGGGGAGACAACCTTGTGACAGAGGATGCAGAAGAGGCTGAAGTGCTCAGTGCCTTCTTCATCTCAATCTTCACAGGTAAGGTTAGTTCCCAGACTATTGCACCTGGCAGCACAGTTTGGGGAGGAGGTGAGCAGCCAACAGTAATGAAAGAACAGGTTAGGAACTCGTTAGAAAAGCTGAACATATACGATTCCATGGGGCCAGATGGGATGCACCCATGGGTGCTGGGAGAGTTGGCTGATGAGGTTGCAGAGTCACTGGCCATCATCTTTGAAAACTTAGGATGATCAGGAGAGGTCTCGGATGATTGGAAAAGGGTAAACATAGTGCCCATATTTAAGAAAAGGAGGATCCAGGCAACTACAGACCAGTCACCTTCACCTCAGTCCCTGGAAAAATCATTGAGCAGATCCTCGGGGAATCCGTTTCTAAGCACTTGGAGGAGGAGGAGAAGGTGGAGGAGAAGAAGGTGATTGGCAACAGTCAGCACGGATTCACCAAGGGCAAGTCATGCCTGACCAACCTGATTGCCTTCTATGACGAGATGACAGGCTCTGTGTATGCGGGGAGACTAGTGAATGTGGTATACCTTGATTTTAGCAAGGCTTTTAATATGGTCTCCCACAACATTCTGGCAGTCAAGCTAAGGAAGTATGGGCTTATGGACTGTAAGATGGATAGAAAACTAGCTAGAGCATCAGGCTTGTAGGGTAGTAATAAATGGCTTGATGTCTAGTTGGCAGCCGGTATCAAGTGGAGTGCCCCAGGAGTCGGTCCTGGGGCTGGTTTTGTTCAGTGGCTTCATAAGCAGCCTGGAAGATGGCATAGAGTACATCGTCAGCAAGTTTGCAGTTGACACCAAGCTGGGGGGAATAGTAGTAGATATGCTAATGTGGCCCAGCCCTGCCCCTGGGGCTGTCAGCAGGGAGGGAGGGGGGAGGAACTGCCAGCTAGGGTTTGCCCAGCCTGAGCTGCAGGACCTCTCTGCCTTGTGACCCCCCCCCGAGCTCAGGCTGATCAAACCCCAGCCAGCAGCTCGCTTCCCCCCTCTCCCTGTCTCCTGACAGCCCTGTGCGGGCCGGGAGCGACCCGAGCCCTTTTCCGTGCTGCACGCAGGCTGTGGCCAGCAGCCCGGGCACGCCGGGTCAGAGAGGGAAGGCCGTCGAGCTGGAATTAGGCACAAACGCGTA